CCATTTACGTAATATTTAGTTATTTAATTTGTTTATATCAGTAGAGAGTAATGTTTTTAAAAGAAAATCAGATTCCATCTTCCCCTGTTGAGAATTCTACACTGGCTTCATTACCTGATTTAGAATGAAACGGAAACTCCACTTCATGGCTAACAGGCTTCCTCTCCAAGTTCGTCTCCTGCCACTCTCACGTAGGTCACACCACTCCTGAACCCACCAAGCTGGAGCAGCTGCGGACCTTTGCCTGCCTTCTGCCTGCTGTGCTCTTCCGTCAGTCACCTGCTTTGCTTCCCCACTTCACTCTCTGCTCGTAGGTTCTCTCCTGAGAGCCCTTCCATAACCACCTCTGTAAAAGAGTCCTCTGCCCCAGTTCACTTTACCAACTTACTCTGTATTGTTTTATAGCATTTATCACTACACTACTGGTGTTATATATTTATTTTGTGTGTGTGTTTCTTATCTTGCTCTCCCAATGTAATGTGAACTCCATGAAGGTGGGGACTGTGTCTTATATACTGATGCATCCCTAGCTCTTAGAACAGTACCTGGCATAATAAAAGCTCAGGAAATAATTGTTGACTAAATGAATGGATTATTATTTATATAATTGTTAGAGTTATAGGTCTCTTCTGGCCAATGTCATCTGTGTTTTTCTGAACTTATTATTCCCTTTCTGCCTTTGTTCCTTCAATGTCCTGAAGGGATTTTAGGAAGGGAGAACTATTGTTTGTTTTGGGGGTATGTGTGTGTGTTTAAAGCAGCACTATGGGCTTTAAGAAATAAATAAAATCTTAGTTTCTCTGTTATTTAATGCACATTTGACTATGTTTAAAATTTGGTTGCAAATTTGGTTCAGTGAAATAAGCCATCATTAAACACTTAACACTGGGGAGTTCCTGTTGTCCTGTTCAGAGGCAGAAACACAACCTGCTAGCATGCTCGTTGCTCCAAGGGAAACAACTGCCTCAGGGGGAACTGCTGCCTCAGGTTTTCAATCTTCCTGCCTCCCCATTTGAGTAACAGTGCTTCTCAGTACCAAAGAATCTTATATATGTGGACACCTCTGTTGATAGAAACTTGATTTCTCTATTCACCCCCTCTATGAAAGATACCTCAGCACTTTAATCAAACACTTAAAACTGAAAACATTCTTTAGAAATTTCAGTGAAACTTTACCACAGCTAACCCAGTTTTTTCTTTGTCATTGTATAAAGCAAATTTCTTTTAGAGCTCACTTCCTCATCCACAGTGTTTCCCTTTTTCCACTCTAAGAAAGAGCTGTTAGTTTTAACTCCATTTGCAGAGATTAGAAACCTAGTATTCATAGGCAGGTTCAGCCTCAAGCAAGCCTTTTTTCTGAGGCTCGGTTCAGGCTGACAAAAGACTGAACACAATACAGAAAATTTACTCAGACAGCTGTTTGTCCAATCTCCTCTAGAGAAGAAAATATTTTTTTCTTTTTTTTCTTTTTTTTTTTTTGAGAAAGAAAGATATTTGGCAATTTGGTGAAAAGCCTTCAACCCAGATTTGTTATGCTATTTTGGCCCTTTTTATTTAGGAAAAGGAGGTCTAGTGGTACAGTGGTTAAGGCAGTCTGCCTCCACGAAGATTTACAGCCTTGGAAACCCTATGAGGCAATTCTAGTCTTTCCTATAGTATTTTGGTTACCTAGTACTGCTCTGGCAAGAATATATCACAAATGGGATGGCCTTAACAAACAGGAGTTTATTTTTACAATTTGGAAGCATTAAGTCCAAGTCCAAAGTGCCAAGCTCTAGGGGCTGGGTGAAAGCCCCTCAGCCTTGGGCTTCAGCTTTGCTTCCAGCTCCTGTCCCACTAAAGCTAGAGGCTTTTCTTCCGTCAGATAGCTGCTGGCTGCTGAGGCTGACAAGCCCAAGGTTGACAAGTAAAAGCTACAGTCCCGATGTTACCAAACCACATGGCAGGCCATTCACTCAAGTCCATTGTAAGTCCCAAGGTTGGCAGAACATGGCAGCCTGCTGAACGACATGGCTACATGCCAGGTCTAAGCGTGCCACAAGCTAGAGACCATTCCCAAAGCTGTTTCTTATATAGGAAGTAGACCACATACCCAAATGCAGCTACTCAGCTGCTCACAGTAGATTCCACCATGGAGTTAATTACCAGTTTCATCATGGGGAATACGACATCCAGCTGCTCAGCCACTCAACCAGGCCCAGCCAAGTTGACATACAAATGTAACCACCACATATAGGTCCTCTATGACTCAGAATTGGCTTGATGGCAATGGCTTATTTAGGAAATGCTACATGGAAAGAATTACTTATAGACTCTTCAAGCTCTAGACAGGAAACAGTTTCTGCTCCACTTAAAACCAAAAAACCAAACTCATTGCCATCAAGTCAGATCCAACACATAGCGACCCCTCCTTGGGTTTCCAAGGTGGTATCACTATGGAAGTAGATTGCCCAACCTTCCTTCCGAGGAGCGGCTCGTGGGTTTGAACCTCCAGCCTTCTGGTTAGTAGTCAAATGCCTTAGGCACTATGCCACCAGAGCTCCCAGAGTTCTGTTTTGAGGAGAACCAAGAAAGTGAGGCAGATTCCCCAGTCAGTTGTCCTAATAGTGTTTTTAGAGTTTCTGCTCTATCTCCTAATGCAGTGAGTAATGCCAGGGGTTTAAAAACCTTGTGAGCAACCACGAAGATACAATTGGTCCCTGCTAGCCTGGAGCAACAGAAGAAGGAGAAAACCCAGGATTCAGAGAAGGAAATAGACTGCAGCTCTTGAAGCCTGTATGAGACCAGAAGAAATGGATGGTGCCTGGTTACCATTACAGAATGTTTGATCAAGAACCCAATAAATGGATGTTGATCAAAAGGAGGAAAAAGTGTGGGACAGGACAAATTCTTACTGGAAACTAGACTTAATGGATACATTGAGACTGGAGGTACCCCAAAATCTATTGCCTAGAAACAACTTGTAAGCCTTGAACAAAACTGTCCCATGGTGTCATCTCTAAACTAAACAACAGTTTAGTCCATTTAATAATGTTCACCTTCAGCACTGTGCTCTTTTAAAGAATTATCTGTATAAAATTGACAGCCAAACTCACTGCCATCGAGTCGATTCAACTTATAGTGGCCCCTCTTAGGGTTTCCAAGGTGGTATCTCTATGGATGTAGATTGCCCAACCTTCCTTCTAAGGAGTGGTTGGTGGGTTTGAACCACCAGCCTTCTGGTTAGCAGTAAAATGCCTTAGGCACTACACCACCAGAGCTTCCAAATGGACAGCAGTAACTCTAAAAGATGAGAACTCTAAGGGGCAGGAAATCGGGCAGAGATAGGGAGAATAGTGGGAATAGTGGGTATAATGTGAAGTGTATAACCATTGTCACTGAATTGTACATTTAAAAATTGTTGAATGGTGAGCTCACTTCAATGGCTTAACTCTCAACCAAACAATTGACAGGCCTACAAACTGAACACCTACACCAGGGAGATGCACTTCTAGGAACAGTCAACCATAGGAGATCAGAAGGACACATTTGCACAGGGAGAAAGGCAGGGAGGCAGAAATGCATAGGCAAGAATGACACAGGGAAAAGGTAACCACAGGGTGGAAGTGGGAGGTGAGATTTTATACTTTGGGGAATGTAACCAGTGTCACAAAATGTGTATGAACTGTTGAATGTAAAACAAATATGTAAAATTTCACCCAAATCACAGTAAAAAGTTAAAAAAAAAAAAAAATGTTAAGCTTTTTAAAAAAAAAAAAAGTTGTTGAATGTGTATATTTTCACTTAAAAAAAAAAAGAAGAACATGAGACATTGTCATTGCAAGAGCCTTCTTTGAGAGCTTCCATTCTGGTTAGTTGATAAAAGGGAAACATCACTTAGCTATCATTCTTCCTATTTTGTGTTGACTGGCTACAGTAAATTCTTAGAGGAGATAACAAGAGTTAAAAAATATCAGTGGAAATGCAAATAAAAACCACAGTGATTTCCCCAAGCAAGTTATAAAAATGGCCAGTGAGCATATGAAAATTTCCTCAACATTAGTCATTCTCACTGCCATTGAGCTGATTCCGACTCAGTGGAAATAGATTGCCCCATCTTCCATCTGTGGAGCGGCTGGTGAGTTTGAACTGCCATTCGTCTGGTTAGCAGTCAAATGCCTTAGACACTGCACCACCAGAGGTCCTTAGAGAAATACAAATCAAAATGACAGTGATATACCACTTCACACCCACTAGGATGCCTATGATCAAAAAGACAGACAATAACAACTGTTGAGGAAGATGTGGAGAAACTGGAATCCTTATACACTGTGGGTAGGAATACAACCATTTTGGAAAACAGTTTCACAGTTGCTCAAAAGCTAGTTGCCTTATGACTCAGGACTTCTACTTTGAGGTGTATATCCGAGAGAAATGAAAACACACATCTACACAAAATCTTGTACTTAGATGTTTGTAGCAGCATTATTCATAATAGCCAAAAAGTGGAAACACCCAGCTGTCTATCCACTGATGAATGGATAAACAAAATGTAGTATGTCCATACAATGGATTATTGTTTGGCCATACAAAAGATTGAAGTACTGATATGTGCTACAATATGGATGAACCTTGAAAACATGCTAAGTGAAAGTAGCCAGGCATAACATACCACATATTATCTGATTCCACTTATATGAAATGTCCAAAATAGGGACATCTATAGAGGCAGAAATGAGATTAGTAATTGCCTGGAGTTGGAAGTGGGAGTGACAATTGACTACAAATAGACATGAAGGAATTTTCTTTGGTGATGGAAAATGTTCTGAAACTGAACTGTTGAAATTTGTTAAGACTCATTGAACTGTACACTTAAAATGGGTGAATTGTATAGTATGTAAATTATACCTCAAAAATCTAGTTTCAAAAAAATGAAATCAATAGTTAGTCTAAGACGCTGAATACACTTCAATCAGACAGGAAAAAAAAAAAAAAAAAACTTATTTTTCTCTCCACTTTAGGCCCGTCCTCCCACTGACTTGAGCTTTAACTTTGATGCCAACAAACAACAAAGACAGCTTATTGCAGAACTGGAAAACAAAAACAGGTAAGAATGCAGAGGTCAAGGCTGTTTCTAAAATCCAGGATTATTGTATGTCTGATTCTTGTTTCCTTGCACAGTGGTTGGCTTTTGACCACAAAGGAAGATCCCACCTCAGTGAATACTTGCTAGCCCAAGTTCAATAAATTCCCTGGACACTAATTTGTATATATCTTCATGTTGTTTTTCTGGTAGTCCAAAACCCTGCTATGTGCCCCCAGGTACAGATCCTTTCCCCAGTGCCCTCACTTCCCAGGAGGCTTTTCCTCTATCTATTCATGCTGTTCTTCCCCATTATGCTACATGTGACTGTCTAATCTCTCAAAAAAGAAAAAATGCCAACCACTCAGGAAAGAGGAGCTCTGGTAGCATAGTGCCTAAGGCACTTGACTGCTCACCAGAAGGCGGGTGGTTCAAACCCACC